GGAGGGCTGCGGGAAAGTAGGAGAGGAGCCTGTAAGGTTGTTGCCAGTTGGGCGTGGGGAGGTTGCCACTGTGCTGCCGTCTTGCCGCTTCCTTTTGTTGTCTTGAGAGTATGAGTTGCTGAGTTTATAGATGAGGAAAGGCAGCTGGGAGATTGACATCATGAAGTGAAATTGGGGAGAGTAGGTTACAAGTTGCCAATTTTATTATTGATTTTAATTTATTTTGGTGAAAGTTGTTTAGGTAATTTTCCCTCAATTTCTTCAGTTACTTAAGCAGTCCTACAATCAATGTAGTTTTATGTTTTTAGATGTTTATATAATCTAGTCTGCGGATTTAAAAAAATGTTTGAATTGGGGATCATGGGCATGGCATTTATTTACATGTTTTTAGGAAGATAAATTTTAGAAATATAATTCCGTTCATAGAAGTGAATAAAATAGACAGGGATTCCAATGTGTCAAAGCAGACAGCAAGTCAGAAAACAGACAGCTAAATTCTAGATACTCCATAGTACTGTGACAAAAATAAAATCAGCAGTGGTGGTAGGTATGAGGCTCATTTTACATAGAGTGAGGAAAGAACAGATGACATTTGAGGAGCAAAGGAGGAAGAAAAGGAACTAGTCATGCACAAATCTGTGGGCAGAAATCCAGGTAAAGGGTAGCAAGTGTAAGTGGCTTGAGGTGGTTGGAAAAAACAGAAGGGCCTTATGAACTAGAACATAGGAAGGGACATAGAGAGTGTTGCACCAGGAGGGTGGAGGGGCAGATGGAGCAGGGCTTGTGGGTCATGGTAGGGAGTTTGGACTTTCTCTGCATGTGATACCAGCCCAGTGCTAGTGGGGGAGCTGGACAGGTTACCTGGTCTGATTAATGTTGTAAAAGACCACTCTGCCTGTTACATGGGGATTATGGAGGGGCAAGAGTGGAAATAGAAAAGCCAGTTGGGAGCTATTACAGTCGTCCAGGAGAGCTATAATCGTGACTTGGGCCAGAATATCTGAGGTGGAGGTGGTGAGAAATGGTTGGATTTAGGACATATTTTGGAGATAGAGCCCAAAGGACCTGTTGATGGGTTAGACATGGGGTGAGAGGAAAAGAACAATTAAGAGTGATCCATAGGTTTGGGGTCTGAAGAACTGTGGGGATCAATGATGAAATGAACTGAGATGGACAGGACCAAGTGGAGGAGAGCCATTGAGACCCTCTGTTGCTGGCCGGCCTTGTTCCAACAAGGGTGGTCTTACATTGGCTTGTACTGTGCATTCTTCTCCCTATTTGAACCTTGAGAGTGGATTAGTTCCAGTAATGGTAGGATTTATTCTGTTATAGGCTAATGGTGTTTAGTCTGCTTGGACTTAGAAATACTTTTAATTTAATGATGAATTTTTAAGGTAGCAGTTCTTAAAGGATTTAAATTTGAACTAGAAAAATACACAGACTATTCTACTAAAAAATACATTTCTCCTGAATTTCAAGCATCCATTGCTAGTAGAAAAGAAGGCCTTCAAGAAACAAACATAAAAACAAATCAGCTTTCCTCATACTTTAGAAATGTACTGGTTTTACTTAAAACTCTCAGACACAACCAGTCATTCATTCAGCTGGGCAAGTGGGATGAAGTTCTGTGTCAAGATTTATCTGGATACAAATTAAAACCATCTCACACATAGGTGTTGTAGTGAAGATACTAACAAGTTCTTTGGTCAAGTTATCAAAACATGGTGAGGTAACATGGTATTTTCCACTCTGTAGTCTTAGGGGAAATAAATATTAACTTTGCACCTAGATACAGGAACAAATTATGTATCATATATAGCTGAAAGTGTTTTGCATGTAAATAGTCATAACAATAGTTATTCTTCCTGAAATGTATTGGCTTTTGAGTTTTCTAAAATTTACTGTACTGTTTTTAACCGGATTCTTTGAGAACTGGAGGGCATAACGAATCATAACAAGATACTGTAGATCTCTTTAATTTTATGTATTTGAAATGTATTTATTTATTTGTTTGTTTGTGGCAGGGTCTTGCTCTCTTGCCTGGGTTACAGTGCAGTGGCACGAGCATAGCTCACTATAACCTCAAACTCTTGGACTCAAGCAATTGTCTTGCCTGAGCCTCCTGAGTAGCTGGAACTACAGGCACACGCCACAATGCCTGGCTAATTTTTCTATTTTTTGTAGAGATGGGGTCTTGGTCTTGCTCAGGATGGTCTCAAGCTCCCGGCCTCAAGCGATCCTTTCACCTTGGCCTCCCAAAGTGCCAGGATTACAGATATGAGCCATCATGCCCAGCTATGTATTTGAATTTTAGATCAGCCACTTTGCCCAATAAAAAGTCTGAACTCAGATGCATTTCTCTGAATAATTGAGAAGGGTTTTTTTTTTGATGTCTCTTTAGTAAAAATCATCTTACAGTATTTTAAAAATCACTTTTCTTTTAATATTTGGATTTTTTGATAGCTTAATATCTTACTATATTGAATATTTCTCATCAAATTTAAAAGTTTTTTAAAATTTGGAACCAGCATTAACTCTACCTTCATCTTTCTTCTTATTTTGGCAGAGAAATTGCTTTTACTAGGCAACTTCATGAGAAAGCGTCTCAACTCAGCTATTATTACATGGGTTTCTACATTCATTCGTGTCCCAAGATGAAATATAAGGTACAATTGATTTTTACACGTGTCTGTTTTCATCATAGAAAAATAAATCTTTAATAAAATTTTTATCTCAGGGCACAGGCTTTGGAGCTTTGAAGGAGGGACGAATGGGTTAATAAGGAAATCTCTTTGCTGGGTCAGAAATTAAGCTTTCTGTAATGAGAACCACAGCCTCTACTGCTCTTACATTGTAATCTATTGTATTATTACGAGGTTTAAGTATATTTCAGAATTTCCCTTTAAAAAAAAAGGTTTTATGACTCCCTTTAATGAAACCCTTTGATGTTTTCTGCGCATTTGTAGCCCACTGTAAAAACTCTGGAGAGTAAGAACAGTGCAAAGGAGCAGACTCCCTGCCTCCCACCCACTGTGACAACAATAACCAAACACCTCTGCTTTGCTTAGCCTGATGCTTTAAGCTCTGAAGATGCAGGCCTGAATCTTCTACTTAAAACTTGTGACCTAGATGAAGATTTGGTTCATTTTACATAAAACCAGGTGAAATAGTGGTCTGGTAAGTGGCTTAGGAGGACATGGGGTTTTACTACACACGGTGTGGAAGAGGAGAGAGTTTAACCAAAAGGTAGGAGTAGTTTCAGAAAAGAGTAGGTGTGATGGAGAAGCACATTTCAGGGAGGAGAAGCAGTAAAAGTAAGGATTGAGGGAGGACAGTTCCTGTGATATATTCATAGAACAAAGGATAACCAAAGGACTGTGAAGGACCTTGATAGCTAGGCTAGGGTACTTAGGCAACTGGGAGTCAGCAGTGGCTTCAGAGCAGAGCAGTGTAGGTCAAAAAATATATTCATAATGGAAATTTTTAAAACATGCCAAATTAAAGAAAAAAACATACTTGAACCCTGTGTACCCATTACCCTAGCTTTAGCAATTTTCATACATTTTACTTCATCTATTCCTTCACCCCATTCCCACCTCTACCCCCTTTTGACTTATTTTGGAGCAAATCAAGGATATCACTTCATCTGTAAATATTTGAGTGTATATTTCTAAAAGGTAAGGGCACTTTGAAAACATAACCACAATCTCATCATCATACCTGGAAAATATTTAAAATCTTCCAAATATCATCTGATATCTAGTTGGTGTTCCTGTTTCCTTAATTGTCTGATAATCTTTTTTACAGTTAGTTTGTTTGACTTTGGACCCAAACAGAATTCAATTCTTACATTATATCTGGTTGATGTGTCTCTTAAATCTCTTTAATCCATAAATTTCTCACCTCTTTTTTTTTCTTTCTTATAAAAGAATTATTCACAGGACTTGGTTATTAACTAAATGAGGGGACGATCATAGTTCCAAAACTTTGAGGTTAAGTACTGAATGGCTGGGGAAGTAATGATTCCGTTATCAGAAATTATGGATTCTAAAAGTAGAACTGGCTTTGACAGAAGGGTGAAAATGTAGCACCTTGCTGGTTTTACACTGACAGTCCAGATAAGCTGATCGAAGTGTCCTGCTGGCATTTGGAGTTCTCTTTTGAGCTCATATTTAAGCGTACATTGTAGATAGATAACTTCTGAATTTGGTTGTCTTCAAAAATGTCCTTTATGCCTGAATTATTAATTTACTTGATAGGCCTTAAATATATGTTCTATGCAGAAGGAAAAGCACGAGCATATTTATTATTCCTTAAAACATTTATTTGGTTATGTTTTTACTAATCTTTTCTCCTTGTGGCTCATTGTCATGGTCCTAGATCTGATTAGTTCAGGGTGGAAAACTCAGGTACTCAAGATATTTTAATATAAGACTCAAAGAAACCTCTCCCCTATATATTAATCTTCCTTTAGGTAGTACTTATCCATGACCCATTCAAACAGAAGTATTATGGCACCACAGTTAGGGACTTGCATGGATTTCACTTTTGTTCATACCTCTCATTTTTAATGGCTATTCTTATCTCACAAAACGAGACTCTTTTGGCGAGTTTTTCCTTACGCCTAAGCTAAATTCTAAATTACTCCGTATTTTAAACCACTTCTTATTTTTTTATCATTAGTGGAAATGTTGAATATAGTTTCATCATCCCTTTTTTCTTCATGAAAACTTAACTCACACCTTGGTTGACTCTAGTCCAGACTAAATATTTTAGTCTCCTTCATAGGTAGAACTCTGCTTGGAAATTGAAGTCAGCCCATATCTAGTTCTGAGTTAAGGATTTTTAAAGTGCCCCCTGTGCTGTTCAATCTAGCTTAATCATATCCAACCTAAATCCATCAGAATAGGATATTATTTGTTTAATTCTATTTGTAGGAGAGATACCCCCATGCCTGCTAGCCTTCTGGCTGTCTTCCTTCCTCCGTCTATAAAATATTTGTAGAGCTCCCACTGGAAATAACAGCAGTGGAACTTTCATTCTAGTGGAGAAACTAACAATAAATTAATAAAGAAGACAAATGTTAGGGATAAGTACTGTGTGATGTGGTAGACATTAAGTGAGTGTGGCTATTTTAGATTGTGTGGTCAGAGGGGTCTCTAAGGATTAACATTTAAGCTAAGATTTGAATGTCGGGAAGTCAGCCAATAGCAAGTTTTAGGGTCATTTCAGAAAGAGACTCAGGAAACAGCTAGGGTAGCTCTACTTAGCCTTGAGTTGTTGTGGTCATCAATTTGACTGTACTTAATAATCTGGAAAATGTTTTAAAAATACTGATGCTGCTAGGTATGATGGCTCATGCCTGTAATCCCAGCACTTTGGGAGGCCAAGGCAGGAGGATTGCTTGAGCCCAGGAGTTCAAGATCAGCCTGGGCAACACAACAAGACACCCTCTCTACAAAAAGTTTTAAAAAAATTAGCTAGGTGTGGTGGCACAGGTATGGTAGATGGCCTGTAGTCCCAGCTACTCAGCATTCTGAGCCAGGAGGATCACTTGAGCCTGGGAACAAGAGGTTGCAATGAGCCATGATTGTGCCACTGCACTCCAGCCTGGGTGACAGAGCTGAGACCTTGTCTGAGAAATGAATGAATGAATGAATGCTGATGCTTGGGCCATACCTTTAAACATTTTAATTAATTAGTCTGGGATGAGCCATGGATATCAGATTTTTTTTCCCACATACTCAGAAGATTCTGATGTGAAGTCAGACTTGAGAATCACTATACCAGATTATTTTTTCACATCTGAGAGTCTCATGAGGAACTGGAAAGATGATTATTTCCCATTTTAAAGTTTGCTGTTTTGTGTTTATTAAATTCAGAATTACTCAAATTGAAGAAGTTCATATCTTCGCTTTGTCATTTGTGCCCTGGAACATAGGAGGCTGACCTGAGGCCTTTACCCATACTGTTCTCTCTGTTTCCCTCCCTCTGTCCATCCCCTATGCTTATAAACTCCTCATCCGTCATTTCTGAGGCTAGGAATCACTTTCTCCAGTAATCTAGTTGCTAAGACTAGATCTGACCATTCATCCACCCACCTCATAGCGTTCTACATTTCTTCCCCAAAACTATCTCCTGTGCATACATTCCATCAGGATGGTGATGTTTATCTTCCTCATGTATCCCAGGTAGCTAACAGTGTGCCTCATACGTCGTAGATGTTTAATACTTAATACACATTTGTTGAATTAATGACTGGAAATACTAATGCAGAGGGTCAAGAAGTATGTAGGGTAGTGAGAAACTCCTTGTTTTATTTAACAAATATTTATTGAGCATGAATGGGACAGCTTCTACTGTGCAAATAGGTTAGTAACAGACACACAGTTTTAGCAGAACATGATAGGTGTTGTGACTGGATAGTACAAAGTATCCATAAATACCCTCAGAGCAAAGGGAGGTGGTCACACATGAATGTGTAACAGTTTGGAGAAGTTGATATTAACTACACCTGGTCTCAGTTTTCGCAATTGTAAAGTGGGAATGATGTAAAAATGAGATATATTATGTTACTATCTCCATTCGAGTATAGCATCTATACAAGTGGGTAGCATTCATAAGCACATTATATGTACTTCTGTTGGGACGCATGAAGGCTCTGTTTGCATACTGATAAATGACACTCAAACTTCCAAATGGCCTGCTCGTACTATTAGCCAGGCTTCTTAGTTTAGTTTAGATGTTGGGGTAAAGGAGAGGCTTGTGCTAGTGCCCATCAATATTGGCTCTCTGAAAATTTCCAGAATTTGGATTCTTACCTTTTGCTTAGAGGGCAGTGGCACTGAGCTCTGCTAGGGATGGTGCTACAGCGTGGCGAACCTTTCAGTGATAAATCCTGTGTTGTGCCGCAGGGTGTCTGTCAGCTTTGGCCTTCTCTGTTCAGGGCAAAAAAAAAGTCCATTAGAGTTCTAGTGTTTGTTGGCTGAATAAAATGGTTATTTTGCTCCATTGAAGTGAGGAGATATTGGTATGTTTGTGCTAGGACTCCAAGCTGTATATGTTCATTAATGACAGTCTGACTAATACTCAATGCAAGGGCATTTATATCAGAAAAGAACATCTTTTACATGCTAACACAAATGTAATATTTCTTCTTATCCCACAAACTGAGCCACTGAATTTGAGCCACTGATCAGGGTGCGTGGCAGAATACCATGTCACTCATTTAGTTCCTGTTCCAAATGTTGCATCAGAAGCTAAGAATGTGATTTCTGTTTACTTAGGGTTAAAGACAGGCAATTTGGAATAATTTATGGTCACTATAGATTATTGCCATTTCATACCTGTTTTTAAAATAGTAAGTTACTATGTCTGTAGAAGAGCTTAGAGCAACAGGTGCAATTATAAAAGATAACTGCTTATATACATTTCCTGGTATATAGCCGGATATGGCTGGTATGGGTTGGTAGAAATCACTTCAAAAGCAGATTGGTCTTTTAATAGAGTAAAGCGAACATGAAAACTAATGTCTCTATGTGAGAATTTCTTCCTGTCTTTTTTGGGTAAATTTATGTTTTTTCAAATCATGAATTTTGGGGAAAATCATTTGAACCAGGAAATTGGGGGAAAGTATTATAATTTTCTCACAAATATTAAAACTGAA